CGTTGCAGCCGTCGGGGCCGCGGCGCGCGCCTCCCGGGGCCGTTCCGCCCATGCCCCTCCGTGCCCGCCCGTGCTTACCCCGACCTCGGCGGCCGGCCTCCCGCAAGCCCGGCCCGCGCCCCTCGACGAAGCCCTCGCTGCAGCCGAGGCGCCGCGCGCAGGCCCGCCCCCGCTTAAAGCGGCCGCGCCCGCCGCCCGAGAACTGGGCCCCGGCGCGCCGCCCCCAAGTGGGTGCGGCCTGGGCGGGCGGCGGGAGCGGGGAGGGGCGTCTGCAGCCCCGGTGGGCCACCGGCCTTTAAACCTCCGCCTGCGTGGGCGGGGCCCCGCGGGGACGGAGGCGGGAGGCGCTAAGTGTCATTGATGGGGTTTCTTGGGCCCTAGACGTCCTGGCGGGAGCTAGGCCCCGGGAGGGAAGGTCGGGGGTTGCTGTGCGGCGGTGGGCACTGGAGGGGCTTCCCTAGTTGGCGACGGTCGGGCCCGGGTCCAGTCCAGCCCTGAACTGAACGTGGCAGGCTTGGTGAGTTTTCTCCCCGGCTGCTTTCCCGGGGGTCTTTCTAGCCTGGGAAGGGGGAGGAGGCAAGGAGGGTCATTGGGAAGGCGAAGGTAGCTCGAGACCCTGTAAGCGAAGGGAAGCCCTGGTGTTCTGCCTGGATGTGGCCGACCCGATCATTAGTTCGGCAGCTGCATCACTCCGAGGCTAGACCGCAGAGGACCACTTTCCTTGTCTGCTCCTACCCCGCGGGCAGATGCCTCGGGCTGGGCCAGAGCAGTGCTGAGACTGAGAGGGGATTGGGCAGAATGCCCTGATGCCCAGGGGAGATGGCATGGGCTGGACCAAGAGGCCCTAGAAGGGAAAAATACTGTCAGGCGTCACCTACAGACTCCATCTAAGATGGTGGTTAAATAGTGAGCCATTCCTGGTAACCCATGGTTACCATGTTAAATGGACAGAGTGTGAAATTGATGACCTGAGCCTTTCCTGGTAACCCATGGTTACCATGTTAAATGGACGGAGTGTGAAAGTGATGACCTGAGTACCTCTACCACTTCCAGGACCTGGCTCCACCTCCTACCCCTTCCTGTCTGTTCCTAACCCCAGCCCCATCATCACTAACTCTCTAAAATCTTTGTGTTCTTTTCCCAGACAGATACATTTCACACCCTGCAAAGAACAGAGCTTGCGATACCTGCAGATACCGTGCAGGAAAGGTGCCCTGTTGGGGAACAAACTTCTTGCTTATTTAAGGTTACCACTCAAGAACGAGCCTCCGCTGATGTGTTGGGATTGTAAGTGATGTATTTAGAGCCAGTTTTCTGTGCCTGGGAGAAATAAAATGGGTCAGAACACCCCTTCCCCTCTGGAAGACGTTGCCCACTTGCCAGAAAAATCCTCTCTGCTCCTTCTCCCCCCACCCCCCAAAAAAGTAGGAAGTCCAAAGTTGGAGAAGGTTGAAAAATTGGAGGGCTGTAATTGGTGTGCTGAGGTGGTTTTTAATATTGTTTCGGGGGTGGAGAAAAACCGGCAGTAGACAAATCTTTTGATAAGTTTCAGCTTAATTGCCTATGATAAAGACGTACTGTTAGGCCTAGCCCTAACATCCGGGAAATCTGTGCTCTTTCCCATGGCCTTAGCTTCTCCTAGCAAAGTACCCATCCCGCTGCTCTGATTTTTGCCTGTTTTCTTGTCTATCTCCTGAATTAGAAGTTGGGCACACTGCCAACGTCATCCCTATCAGGTAAATTAGATCACGCCCCTCTTCTGCTTAAAACCCCCCAAAGACTTTTCAGCTCATCCTCATTTCCACGCCCTGCATACCTCCCAACCTCGTTCTTCATGTTCCAGCCGCAGTGGCCTTGCTGTGCTTCATCCCTACCTAGGACCTCTGCAGCTACTTCTCCTGTCCGGAATGTTCATCTCTCAGAGGCAGAAAGCTGGCTCCTTGTCATCCTTGATGAGCTCAAATGTCACCTCCACAGATAGGCCTTCCTTAAGGCCCAGACTAAGAAAACCATTAGCCCCCACACCTCACTGTCTTTCATAATGCGGTATTTACCCCCAATAACCTCACAATGGGAAATTATTTATTGACTCATTTATCATCTGTCTCCCCTCCTGGACAGCAAGCTCCTTTTTAGTCTTTCTTTACCAATGTGTTCCCGTTGCCCATCGGGTGCTGTCTTCGTCTGCTAGAGGTACCAGGACAATGCACTGCAGGCTGGGTGACTTAAACAACAGGAATTTCTCTCTCACAGTTCTGGAAGCTAGAAGTCTGAGGTCAAGGGGCTGCTAAGGTAGGTTTCATTCTGACGCCTTTCGTCCTGGCGTGCAGGCGGCCGTCATATCACTGTGTGCTCACATGACCTCTTCTTCGTGCCCTTGAAGAGAGAGATCTCTGGTGTCTGTTCCTCTTCTTATAAGGACACCAGTCCTATTGGATCAGGGCCCCACCCTTATGACCTCATTTAACCTTAATTACCTCTTTAAAGGCTCTGTCTCCAAATACAGTCACACTGCGGGGTAGGGCTTCAGTATATGAATTTCTCCAGGGGCACAATTCAGTCCGTAAACAAATGTATAAATTCATACCCTGTTTGCAATAGTACTGTAGGAACCCGTCGGGCAGGATCAGTTGGAACACTGAAAAGGAGGATATAGGGAGCCCCAAAATATCCACTCTGGTGGGCATGAGCAGTACGGGCAGGTGGTCTCCGCATGGAGTGGGTCAGGGCACGAGGCCCCAGCCTGGCCTTTTGAGAGCCACCAAGAGGCCATCCCCCTCCACTGTCCCCTGCTGTACTGGAGTTGCTGCTTACCTTTGCCTCAGCTGTTCGGCTTCTTGGAGGCCAGCCCTAGGGTTCCACACCTGCGAAGAAGCTTTCCCCATGATGAATTAGGAACCCAGCATCTTGTCCTCCCTAGGTCTCTTGTGGGTTTCAACAGGGTGAGTGGGTGAGTGGGTGAGTGGGTGTCCTGAGGTCTGAAAAAACTCCAGCTGCCCTGGCAGAGCCGACACCCCGGCCTGGAGCCGTGGTCAATTCAACAAAGGGATCGTGCGAACTCTCTTTTGCCCCCTCCAACCTACCATAGGCTTTAGCCCCCAAAGCCTCTCCAGAGTGGATCTGGGGTGGTTGTTATCTGCTCCGTTGCCCCCACTTCCCACAGTTACATTTCCAGGGCAGGACAATGCAACCCTAAGGCCGCTGCCCTTCTGTGACAAAAGGGAGATCTGATCATAGCACCTTGCTAGGACCAACAGACGGGCTACCCTGCTTTAGGAAGATTTTCAGTGACAAGAATTAACATCAAGACACGTGCTGTGAGAGCCTGAGGAGGGAAGGTTTCTGGGGAGGGGTGGCGGGGGGTTAGGGGGGGATGACACCCAAATCCTGGCCAACAGACAGGAATTAGGCAAAGAAGGGTCACATCAACATCAGCTTCAGGGTGGCCTTGCAGGTGGCTTCTGTGATCTAGAGAGGACTCTCTGTGGCTACTGTCAAATTATTATTCAATGTAATAAAGTTACACATTGAAAAACAATAAGTCTTGGGGCTGCCTGGTGGCGTAGTGGTTAAGTTCATGCGTTCCATTTCAGCAGCCTGTCAATGGCCCTGGGTTTGCAGGTTCAGATCCCGTGTGCAGACCTGTCAAGCCATACTGTGGCAGCATCCCACATACAAAATAGAGGAAGATGGGCACAGATGTTAGCTTAGGGCCAATCTTCCTCACCAAAAAAAAAAAAAAAAAAAAAAAAGTCTTGCTATTTATGCATTTAGTACATTTTTTTAAATGTATCACTAACAACCAGACCGTTGAATAACGTTAAATAGTTAAATATTTGAAACTAAATTGATAATCTTAACATACTATTTTCTTCTCAAGCACAATTTTCTTCTTAATTTCTGCTGGACAAGCAGAACTCTCCCAAGCCCTTAAGCAATTGTAGTGAGGCCAGCCAGCACTGACTGAGTGCTTGCTATGCCCAGAGCACCGTTGTATGTATTAACTGATTTTCTCCTTACAACAGTCTCATGACACAGAGACTATTATTATTTCCATTTTAAAGAAAAGGGAACTGAGGCACAGAGAGGTAAGTGACTTTCCCAAGGTCATATAACTCTCAGGGCGAATCCAAAGGCTCCTGGGTCCTAGGCCTAGTGTTTGTTCCCATGATGGTGATTGATGCCATTGGGGAGTGACATCTGTCTGGCACTTTTAACTTTCCTGAGGGGCCTCACTCAGATCTGTGCCCCCTCCATTACAGTGAGATGGCAGGGCAGCCCACCAGGGCTCTGCCTTTAAAAGATGTCTTCACTCCCATCCGGAGGGTCCTGAAATTGTGGTCCATCAGCCATCAGGCTGGAGGAGGCATCCAACCTTCTCCCGCTGGGTGGGGTCCCTTGCCCAGGTATGCAGTAAAGCAGGAGCAGAACTGCGACCGGGACCCAGCTGCAGGTGTCCAGTCTTTAAGGCCAGCCAGGCCGGGCCACCTTCTAAGGGGAAAGAGGCACTCTGTTCCGTTATGGCTGATGGAAGCGCCTGCTTAGGCCAAGGAGTGTCCACGGAGCGGCCTGGTCATTCCTCATCGAGGTTGTCAGAGTCTCGAAAGGCCCTCAGTGTCAGCGACGTCGCCGTGGGCCCAGGTATGAGCAGAAACCCCATTTTACATCAGGCGCCGAGAGGATAAACTGAGGAATGACATCAGCCCCCCGCACAGGGGCCCTGCGCTCAAGTTTTTCAGGAGGGACAGGAGGCGTTTCCAGGCCCTTTGCTAGGCGCTCAGCACACAGTAGGCGCTCAACGTTTCTTGAATGAAGAGTCGTGTCTCCAAGCCTCGTGCGTCACGACAGGAGGAGGCACCTGGAGAAAGAATCCAAAGGGGCCTGCTCGCGGCTTCGCAGCGGGGCGCGCGCCTCTGGGGACGCTGAGTCAGAGCCGGCGGGCGCGGAGGAGGGGCGGGGAGGGGGCGCAGACTGGAGGAGCGCGGACCCGGGGAGGGGAGGGAGGATCGTGCAGAGAGGAGGGGCGCAGCGAGGGGAGGGATACCGGGAGGGGGCGCAGACTGGAGGAGCGCGGACCCCGGGAGGGGAGGGGAGGGGAGGGGAGGATCGTGGGGAGAGGAGAGCTGCGGCGAGGGGAGGGAGGGGCGCGGGGAGGGGGCGCGGCGGGCTGTGAGCGGCGGCGGCGCGCGGCGACACGGCATCCCGAGGCGAGGACGAGCGAGCGCCGCGCCCGCACCTCCCCGCACAGCCCGCGCCGCGCGCCCCGAGGAGCGGCCACCGCCGCCGAGTCGAGCCGCGTCCCCTCGGCGCTCCAGCCGCTCCTGGCGCCGCCATGGCCCCGGCCCTCTGGCCGCGCCTCGGCCGCATCCTCTGGCTCGCCTGCCTCCTGCCCTTGGCCCCGGCTCGGGCGGCCGCAGGTAAGGCGCAGCGCCGGCCGGCCACCTCCCCAAGCCGCCGCGAGCCCGGGCCCTCGGGGCCGTGTCGGCCGGGAGCCGGGCTGCCGAGGTGGTCGTGCGCGCTCCCTCCTCCGCCGAGGCCCCTGCAGCGCGCTGCGGAGGGCAGGACCGCCAGCCCTGCGCCGCGAAGCCTCTCCTCCCTCCCCTCTCCCCTTTCTCCGAAGTACCCCCGGTGCTTGAGGGGACACCCCGCGCCTCTCGGTTCCTGCAGCCACCTCCAGATCGGCCCTGCCCTGGGAGCTGCGCGCAGTGGCCGGCGCGTCCATCCCGATGCCCGGGGACCTCGCAGCCGCGGGGGATGGGGGAGGTCGATGCGGGGAGACCAGGGATGTGCGGGGTCCGTCATCAAGCCACAGCCACCCCAGGGAGCGCGGCCACTGGGTTGCCTGAGAAGCAGCGTTTTTGTCTTAAAATGTGGCCTTATCTGGTGAGGCTTTCCACGCTGTTTGTACTGGCTTCGGGGAGGATGCGATTTTAGCGCCCAGGAGCCCAGTCTGCCATTTCCTCTTTGGGAGTGATTTCCAAAATGGACCCCGAGCTCACAGGTGCTGCCGGGTCCCACCTCGAGTCCCCTGGGCGTGCTTCTACCATCCCCCCCCCATCCTCACCGGTGCAAGGCCGGCATCAACCTTTCTGCCTCATGGTGACGACAAAAAGGACTCAGATTGGAGAGTTGTTGGGGCTCAGATGGGCCATGGGGGGAGGTCAAACATTATCTAACATTTTTCATTATTGTCCGCCCTCCCCCTTAAAGGAATGGTATAGAGAGGAAGAGATCTAATGCACATTTATGAGAGAAAAGCCACAAAGTAAAATACAAAACCTGCACTTTAGGGACGAATTAGAGAATTTTGTGGGCATTGTGCGTGGTCAGGATCCCCTGCATTCCCCCTGGAAATTCATATAGAAATGGAGTCTCTTATCCGTCAGGTTTACATGTTTCCAGAAATTATCCATGTGGCCTAAAGTACAAAAAAAAAAAAGAGTTAATTCTTTGGAAGTCGTGTGGTTCCCAGCCTGGCCTGTTGCACCCGTGATATGGTCAAAATCGCTAGGAATGGGGTTGGGAACCCACAGGAGAAAAGCGGAGACTCAGAAGCCCTTTGGCCCTTCCTGGCGTCTGGGTCAGCCGGCAGGGCATGCTTCATACTCCAGGGCTTGAGGTCACAAGTCCATATTCTAGACCATTAATTCATCGCAGGCTGTGTTATCAGACTTCAGAAGGACCTTGGCAAGTGTTTTGGACTATCTACCTGTGCAGGGGGAAAGAGCTGATGTAGCCATTTTCTAGAATGTTCGGGGCCCATGCTGTGTTGTCAGGGAGAATGTGTGGTGCGCTCCAAGTGGAAGCCCTGGGGGCCTGTTAGTGGGTGGGTCAAGCTTTGCGCAGTTGCCACAGCTCTTTGTCACTCGGGGCACCTGTGGAGCCCGCTAAGGCCCTGCCTTGGCTGCTCTGTAGTCCAAGGCCGAGTCACCTGGCCTCCCAAACTTGCAAAGATGGATTCGGACTGGTAGGGCAACAGGACCTGGGCCTTAGTTGTTTCGGCCACACGTGGCAAAGCCTTCACGGTCCATTTCAGCCTGGATGCCCTGGATGCTTCTGAGAGCCCTGAGGAACAGGGGCGGCGTGACCGAGGGGCTGTGAAATGTGGGCTTTTGAAAAAGAAGCTTGAAAAAAGTGCCCTTGGAGCCTCCTTGTGTCTGGACAGGTATGGGGGCTCCCGGGAGCTGGACCAGTGTCTGCAGCCCTGTCTGCTGGAGCCACAGCGCCTCCCCACCCCCATCCATCCCTCCTCCCAGCCGAGCCTGCTGCCCTCCTGATTCCATTCCCCTGGCAACGGATCTGCGATCTGCGTCGTGCTGACATGGGCCCCTCTTGCTGGAGATGCTAGATGGCTATTAGCATGCAGCCGTCTGTCCCCACCACCTGCCAGCCTCACTCTGGCCCACGCTGGGGGGCAGGCGGGAGCCAGAGGGAGGAGGGGAGACAGCCTCTCATCCAGGCCCCTCTTTCTGCGCAGCCCGGCCGAAGGGAGGGAGAACAGAGCTCAGCCCCTGCCGAGCAGAGTTGCTGGGGGGCCCCAGGCATAGCTGTATCCCATGGGGGCCTCTGGGCGCTCAGGTCCCTGAGTGTGACATATATTTTCTTGGAGAAGCTTCCGCGGCAGCGTCTAGAATTCTCTCTTTGGGATTAAGACACCACAGGTCCCGTTTTCAATGCCAGCCCAAATGACTTTGCAATCCAAACTATGGCCCTGAGGACAGAGCTTCAGAACAGGGAATGTGTGACACGGGCAAGGGCAAAGACTGGAGCCCGGTCCCCGGTGGGGGCAGGCAATGTTGCTGCAAGGGGAAGGGTGCACAGTTGAGAGCACACTCGCTCACCTCCCAGATTAGCTGAGTCCCACAGGTCTGTTGTGAGCTCCCTGAGAGTGGGGCCCAAGGAAGGGGCTCAGTCAGTACCACCTGAGTGCACAGTCTCCTGGGGCAGTCCCAGGTGGGCCACTCCCTCTGCCACCCCCTTCTCTCCAGGTGCCACTTGGCGGCAGCAGTGTTGAACACCTACTCTGTGCCAGGCACCTCAAGGAGCTTCCAGTGCAGTGGAGGAGACAAGGAAACCTTCATCCTAACATGGGGTTGTGACAACTGTGTGCGCAGGCTGTTGGGAGAGCTCCGAGGGGGAGAGGGGTTCAGGGAAGGCCTCCCAGAAGAAGTTATATCCACGGACAGATAGGTGGAGAAGGGCGGTGGGGACGGCATGTGCAAAGGCCCTGGGGCTAGGAAGGACAGAGCATGGTGGGGAGAACTACGAGAGTTGAAGTGGCCGGCCACAGCGTGGATGTGCCAAGATGTGAATCTGGATTCCACCCTGAGGCTGGTCCACGCTCAGACTAACTGTGCAGGAAGCTTGTCGTTGGGGATGGCCGAGAGTAGAGCAGGACTAGAGGCCAAGGGTCAGGAACAGAATGTAGCAGTCATCCAGACAGGGCTGAATGCTGGCCTTAAGAGATGGAGAGGAGCACACATGCCCGTATGGGAGGAGTTAGAGTGGCAGAGGCCTGGGGCTTGATTCTTGGGACAGCTGGATCCACTAACCCCAACAGAGAGTGGGTAGGTGAAGAGGATGGAGGGTTTGGGGAGGGGAGAAATCCAGAGGCTCCAGAACAGCCCTGTCCAACAGAACTTCGGGTGATGAAGGAATGTTCTCGCTCTGTGCTATCCAGAAGAGTAGCTACTCACCACGTGTGGCTATTAAGAGCTTGAAATGTGGCTAGGGCTAGTGCAAGCAAGGAACTGAATTTTTAAACTTAATTAGGTTTAAGTAATTAACATTGATTGAATTACACGTCGTTAGTCGCTGCTGTATTGCTCAGCGCGGGTCTGGAGCCCAGAAAGTAGGTTTAGATGACTGGGCTCCATCAGCCTTTGGGAGGCACTTGAAGTGGTGGGAGGGGGGAGTTTGGCTGGGAAAGTGGGTGGAGTAAGCGCAATGAACAGAGTGGGGCTTGCAGCCCCTCCACCCTTCCTTCTGCGTCACCTCTTCTGCCCGAGTGTCCCCTGCCGCGGGCTGGACGCTCTCCCACCTCGAGCCCTGCAGAAACCTCCCCGGAAGGGGGAACTTAGAAATTACAGGCAAACAGTGAAGAGGGGTGGTGGTGCCATTGACAAGAGGGGAGGGTTCTCTGTGAATTGACATGTGCCTGCTTGAAGGATGGTCACACACATATTGAAATTCATACTAGTGCGACCGTGGACTTGCTTTTGACCTGTTGTCGTGTGAAAATAAAATAATTCCAAATTGTGTGCAGAGAGACATTACGACTAAATTAAAAACTTTGATGCGTGAAAAAGAGACATGAAGACAGCAATATGATGGCAGGTGTTGTCTTTGGGAGGTAAGATTATGGGACATTTCTAATACTCTTTATACATAGGTATTACTTCTATGATGGAAACTTTATTTTAAAAATCTTACCTATGGGGACCGGCCTGGTGACTCAGTGGTTAAGTGTGCACGTTCCACTTCTCGGCGGCCCAGGGTTCGCCGGTTCGGATCCCGGGTGCGGACATGGCACCACTTGGCAAGCCATGCTGTGGCAGGCGTCCCACATATAAAGTGGAGGAAGATGGGCACGGATGTTAGCTCAGGGCTAGTCTTCCTCAGCAAAAAGAGGACGATTAGCAGATGTTAGCTCAGGGCTAATCATCCTCAAAAAAAAAAAAAGAAAAGAAAAATCTTACCTTGTTTATATGATAAAATGTCATGTAGCTATCTAAAGCAGTTGAAGAATAATGACTTAGGAAAATGCCTATGATCCAGAATTGAAAACAAAAACAACAATGGAATATATAGTCTCAGAGCGTGAGCATAGCTTCTTTACAAAATGGTGGAAAATGCCCAAATATGGTAGCAATGGTTGTTACTGATTAAGATTTTTAATAAAGTATTTTAATTTTTTATTTTATACTTCTGTTTTCACGTTACAATGAGTCTTGCCTTCAAGGTGGTGGTCAGGAGGTGGAGCATTATTTAAAAGGCCTCTTCCCACCACTCCATCCCATATGCTCAAGGCCCTGTTCTCTGGGCTCCCCATAAGGGGGGCATCCCCCATATTGCAGTTCAAGTTCCCCGAGGAGTCGACCCAGCTGGAGTCACACCAGCGTTGGCGCTGGCAGGCATCCTGGAGTTGCCTAGAGTAGTGCAGTCCAGTGGAACTTTCTGTGATGATGAAGACGTTCTGTATCCACGCTCTTCAATATGGTGACCCTTAGCCACTTGTGGCTGCCAGCACTTGAAATGGCCCTCGTGCCACTGAGAGAATGGCTTTTAAACTTTAATTGAAACTAAAAGAGCCGCCTGTGGCTGGTGGCTACTGTACGGGGCAGTGCAGCTTAGAACCCCTCACTTAATAGATTTAGAGACTGAGACCAAGAGAGGCGGAGGCTTGGCGTGGACCAAAGTGGGCCTGCTTCCCCAGGCCTGTTCTCCTGCTCTCAAGCCGTTAGGCCCCTGACGGGGTCCAGACTCAGCTCTGTGTTTCAAATTGAAATTTTGTGTGACATGTTAAGATAGCTCCAAAAGGCTAGGGAAGGGGGGCATTTCTTCACGGCAGCTGCGGTGGGTCCTATGACAGGCCTTGGCAGTCATTTTCAGAGCTAAGAGGTAAGTCTGGCCAGGTCCGGCCTGTGCCACACACATGCTCTGTAAGGCCCTGCTTGGCTGGCATGACGAGAAAATATAAACTGGGGACACTGGCAAGAACATGTGATTTAGAGTCAGGCAGGCCTGAGATGGAAGCCCGGTTTGACAGTGAAAGAGCCGTACGATCCTTGGACAAGTCCCTTGAACTGGCTGGGCCTCAGTTTCCCCACCTGTGAAACAGAATAATAAAGCAAGCCCAGAGGGTGGCGGGGGCGGGGGGGGGGGGGGGGTTCCTTGCCACGCCCCCTCCTGAAACACAGTCTTTGTCTTTGCGCTCCTAGGCCTGTATGAACTCCGCCTCACCACTGATGGCCCTGCCACCACCGGGGCAGAGGTGACCATCACGGCCAGCCTGGTGGCCAGCGACAACGGCAGCCTGGTCCTGCCCGCCGACACCCACCTCTACCGCTTCCACTGGATCCACACGCCACTGCTGCTCACAGGGAAGACTGATGAGGCTTTCAGCTCAAGCATCCGAGTCGTGGGGAGTGTGCCTGGGGACTTCCCGGTCTCCGTGTGGGTCACCGCCGCCGACTGTTGGATGTGCCAGCCTGTGTCAAAGAGCCTGCTTGTCCTCCCCATCACAGGTGAGGATCCTCCCTGTTTGCTAGTTTGCTTTCAGACTCTTGGTGAAGACAAACACATCCAGGCTGGCCAGTAATCACTTAAATGCAAATTAGACCCATAGTTCCTTCTCTGTTGGCAGTTGAGTTAATACGAAAATCAGAAAATGATAATACCCACTGCCGGCAGCGTTGTGCTGAAGTGGACACTAAGCACGTATTGTGGCTGGGGGTCTAAATTAATACCAGCCTTTGGAGAGCAGCTGATCTGTATGTATCAATGGTTATAAATTATTTTAGTCTTTTCTCTCTCTGTCTTCCTCCCCTTTCCTCCTTCCTTTTCCCCTCCCCTCCTTTCTTTTTCCTCCCGAGTAGTCCCTGCTCTCTTGGAGTTTACAATCTAATACAGAATTTCTCTTTAGGCAATAAACCTCCATTTGGGTAATGCTTTATGCACAAAGATGTTCATTGTAGTGGTGTTTATAATAGCAGAAAATAATCTTAACAAGCTAAGGATGCAACCCTAAGGGGACTGGTCAGGTTATTGATATAATTTGTATAACGAATAATAATGACGCTTGCAAAGAGTTTGTAATGTCCTGGGGGAGTACTCATGCTTGTAAAATTTTAAAAAGCAAAACACAAAATTCTGCAACCAATTTGGGCAACTGTGTTTAAGATACGTGTGCATTAGACACGTACACTCAAATGCTTTGCATAACCACAATGGTTATGTTTGAATGATAGGCAGTTTCTTTTCATTCTCCTCCACTTTTTCCGGATGAGCTGTATGGCGTATGCCTTACTTTCCCCTTTTGTGGTGAAAAATATCCGCTCTTAAATTTTTTTAGAGCAGGAGACACAGAACGGTGGTCCTCAGCCGGCCCGGCACGTTGGGTGTGGAGATGCGACCAGTGGAACTGCTGATTTTTTTTCTAGCCTCGTCTAATATTTTGAAATATTCTACAAAAGTTCCTTTGAAAGCCTGTGCTTTCCTTCTGGTCCCGGGCATCTTTTGTGCCGGAAAGTTCAAGGTCCTGGTGAAAGGGGTGCAGGAAGGAAGCTATGCATTTCACACATACCATGAGTCTTTGACACTGTCCACATGGCAGGGGTGGGTGACAACTTGGGGGGCATGCGCCTCCGTGTACAGTGACCTGCAGGGTCCCCTCTCGCCACCACCCAGCTCTGACAGCCAGGGGGTCGGGTCGGGGAGAGGCTGCTCTGCCAGCTGGCACAGACCTCCCTCCACCTCGGTGGCCTCCCCCCTCCCCTCCATCTCTCTCTCCCAGAGTTCCTTGTGGGGAATCTCGTCGTCACCCAGAACACCTCCCTGCCCTGGCCCGGCTCCTACCTCACCAAGACGATCCTCAGAGTCTCCTTCCTCCTCCACGACCCGAGCAACTTCTTCAAGACCGCCTCGTTTCTCTACAGCTGGGACTTCGGAGATGGGTATGTCCATACCCCCCTGATGCCCCAAAGCCTTGGCCCCTGGCCGGTGGCCCTGTTGTCCCCTGCAGAGTGCTCTGTGCTTTCCCACCTTCACCCACTCACTCACTCTCACTCCGTAACCTCCTTGAGCATCTGCTCTATGCCAAGCTTGGGGTGCGTGCGTGGGGACCAGGGGTGAATCAGTCACCGGCCTTGCCTTTGAGGTGCATACGGCCTAGTAGAGGAGGTCATTGGTGCCCGAAACAGCCCTGTAAGGAAGGTCAAGATGGGTAGGATTTTTCTCCACTTGTCTCTGGAGGAACTCAGCCAGCCAATGGCAGATGCAGTGGAATTTGAGTGCTCTGGCCTCATTTCTCATTACTCCTCTCCCAACAAGCCAGGCAGTGGGAGGCAGGTCGGGAAGTGGGGGTCCGGCACCCCGATCGTGTGAGGATGGTGCTTGCTGGGGACCACTCATTCCACTTGGGTCCCTCCAAACCTCTGGCTGACAGTCCTGCATGCTGGACCCTTAAGTCCCATGAGGGGCGAGGAGTAGTTCATGGGAAGGGTTCCTAAGCCTTTCACAAACTTGGAAAACTGGTCTGTGGGCCGCGAGTTTCCTGTACCCTCTCTGCAAGCCTGAGAAATGTCTGGTCTTAACGAATGCCTAGATTTGGAAGGCAGAAGATTCTAGAATGGAGTGGGAAGGAATTTAGAGAGGCCTGGTGAGCCAGCCCCCCTTGCTCTAAGGAGAGATGCATGTCTCTCCTCTCTGCAGAGATCCCCAGGCCCCCAGCGACAGAGAACGCTTCCTCCACTCTCCAGCAAGAGTCACGCGTGTCTAAAATTGTCACCCACATCCTTTTATCTTCAGAGGAGACAGAGTCCTCAGGCTCTTGAAGGAGTCCAGCCTGAGAGAAACCTGTCCTTCCAAGCTGTATCTTTTACCTTGGAAACAGACGCACATTTTGCTCTCGGCTCTGTAATGTATCTTTTTTTCTTTTAATCTAAAAATAACAGTGACACCTCTGGAAGATGCCCTGAGCTTGCCCATGGCCTTTGCATACCCTAATCTGGGAAGTATGCAAGTCGGGATTAGCTTAGAATACTAAAACAGCCCCCTGTTAGGAGCTCTATTATTCTGGCTCATCATTTTAGTAAGTTAAAGGAGAAAGAGTATACGATCATCTCTTCAGATGCCGAAAAGGTGTTAGAATGAGCAGAAATGGAGATTCTCTGTTATCTCAGTAAACCAGAAAAAGAAGTTTCTGGAACCAACAACCAACGTTATACCCGGTGGTGAAATGTGGAATATGGATTCCCTAGGCCTTGGCGAAAAAAGAGATCTGTGGTCAAATGCTTTTGGGGAATCATTCCATTGAGATACTGGGGGAGCCCTGCCCCAGATGCAGGAGTGAGACAAGGACGCCCCTTGTCACTATCATTCAACGTTTTCCTGAAAGTTCTGACCTATTCAGTAAGTCAAGAAAATAAATGAGATGTAAATATTGGAAAACGGAGAATTTACAAAGAAGATGACCTGCTTAAGGACCTGTGCAGCAGCACTGACCCGTGGAACTTTCGGGGATGTTAGAAATGTTCTGTATCTGTGCCATGTGTGGCTCTTGAGCCCTTGAATCTTGGTTGGTATGACCAAGAAATCAATTTTTAGTTTTACTTAATTTTTGTTAATTTCAGATTAAACAACCACCTGTGGCCAGTGGCTACCTGTTGGAGAGCACAATTCTGGAGAATCAACGGGAAAAATGATAAGAATTTAGTAAGGTGACCGATGGAAAGATCTGGAGCTTTCTTATGTACTAGTAATAAGAAGTTAGAACATAAAGGAGGGACTCCTAATAATGGCAAAGATAGAATAGAAAGTAAATGGAGGAACACAATTACCCGGAAATGGGCAGGGTCCTATCTCAAGAGAGCTGCTGAGAGGGATCAAAGATTGGAGTGAATGGGTGTGTGCACCATGTCCGGGATGGTGAGTGTAAAGATCTCAATTTCGCCCAGTAATTCTGTAAATTTAATGCAAATCCAATAAAATTCCAATAAGAATAATTTTTGGAATGTGACAAAGATTTTACAGTTCAGCTAAATTTGTGTATAAATGTACACACATATATTAATGTACATACCTACATGTATACAAATACATACATGTGGTTATAAACATATATATATATATGGTTTAATAACATAAAGAACTTCTGGAACATTTTTCTCAAACCAGGGGACAGTCTCCATACTCATTAGGGGCATTTCTTGTTAAAGACTTTATTCACTATTTCTTTTGGAGTTGAACATTTTTGACTAGCCAATGAAATAAGACAAGAAAAAGAAATGAAATAAAAATATCACAAAGGAGGAGACAAAAACTGTCATACACAGATGACAATACTGTTTACCTGGAAAACACCAGAGACTGAACTGGAAAATCTTAGGACTAAAAAGAAATTTTAGTAATGTGGCTGGTTACAAAACAGAGATTCATAGCTTTCCAAATGATGGCAATCAACAAAACTTTTATAATACTTATAAAACATAAAAACTGAGAGAATAAACTTATTCTAAAACTGTAGGATTTATGTGAATAAAACCACAAATTGTACTGGGAACCTTAAAAAGACTTAAAAAATGAAAAGAGAATGTCTTGGTATTGTAAGAAGAAAAAATAAAGATCAGAAAAGCAGAATGCTTGTGAATGAGGATGGGGAGAGGAACTGGAAATACATCCATAAATGTTCTTTAAAAAGCTATAAATTGGGGCCGGCCCAGTGGCACAGCAGTTAAGTTCGCGCTTTCTGCTTCTCGGCGGCCCGGGGTTCGCCGGTTCAGATCCTGGGTGTGGACATGGCACTGCTTGCAAAAGCCAAGCTGTGGTAGGCATCCCACATATAAAGTAGAGGAAGATGGGCATGGATGTTAGCTCAGGGACGGTCTTCCTCAGCAAAAAGAGGAGGATCGGCAACAGTTAGCTCAGGGCTAATTTTCCTAAAAAAAAAATAGCCACACTGTGGCAGCATCCCACATAAAATAAAAGAAGATTGGCACAGATGTTAGCTCAGGGCCAGTCTTCCTCACATACACACACACGAAGTAACATAATGAGCCAAAACTAGATTGAAATGTAGGTGATCACCTAGTTGGATAATTTGGCAGTGGGGAAGGCATTTCTAAGAATAAAAATAAAAGGCAGAAACTATAAAGGGAAAAAATGCTAAATTTGGCATCGTCAGATTTAAAATTTGGGTATGAAAGAAGTAAACCAAGCCAGAAGACAAAGGTTAAACTGGAGGAAAATATTTGGAAGATATATAATAAGTAAAGGATTGCTAAACTTCATATGTAAAGAGCATTGACAAATCAACACAAAGATTTTCTTTATTATTATTAGACTTCTTTTTGAAATGATTTAGGTAATTGCAAGGGAAGAGCATGATATTACACACTTTATATGTTATATCATGGCCTGTGATGGAGTTATGAGCCTCTCTCTTTTATAGATGAGAAAAGTAAAGCTTGGAGCTACATAGGTAGGAAATCTGGAGCTGAGATTCAAAGCCAGGTGTGTCTTAACTCCAAAGTTCATACTTCTACCCTCCCCAGATTGTCTCTGTCTCTAATACTTGGCCTCTCTCAGATGGCTGGGCGGACAGAGCACTTCCTGGCAGGTGATGGGCACCTGTTGCCAGGAGTTCTCCCACCTGTAACTTAGAAGCACAAAGCCAACCAGCTGCCACTTTACCAAGCACAGCTGACCTTGCACCCTGGCTGGCTCTGGGGGCCGCTGTGATGACCGGTTGGCTCATGAGGCATTGGTACCCGAGCGTGTCACTGTGCAGCCACCCCACCTCTTCAAAGTCACATGAGTCACTTCTGTCATCTCTCTCCTCCCTGTCACCTTACAGCACCCTGCTGGTGACCGACGACCCTATGGTCTATTATAACTATTCGATTGTGGGAACCTTCACCGTGAAGCTCAAAGTGGTGGCCGAGTGGGAGCAGGCCACACTGGACGCCGGGAAGGGCATCATGCAGAAGACGGGCGACTTCTCCGCCTCGCTCAAGCTGCAGGGTGGGTCTCTGGGCACGGCTGGTGCAGGTTGAGCCTTTGGCCCCAGGGGAGCCCTGGGCGCCACTCCTTCCAGGGTTGGGTCGCGCCCAGATCAGAGTGGCTCCAGTGGGGTGCTAGGCTGAGCTCGGATGCGCATCCCCTCTTCTCGTGTCCCCGATAACCCTCTGGCAGTCTTTCATTATCCCAGCTTCCAGGAGGGCGCGGAAGGCCACGGAGGAGGTCGCATGGCTGCCAAGTGGCAGAGCCGGGATTTGCACCCAGGCCTTCCTGCTCCCAGAGCCCGAGCCTGTAGCCAGATGCTCTGCTATGACTCGTTGTGTCCATGTTGCTCCTTGTTCCCTGGCCACCCGGGGCTCCGGTCAAGGACACGGCACAGTGGGCTGCGCCTCAGTCTACCGCACAGGGAGGGAGTGGAAACCCACGTCTCCCTGGCTTTGGCGAGAGGGCCTGCTTGGGCCACTGCCACAGATTTCTCGGTGGTGCTGCCATGATCATTAACAGGGATGCCTTTCCCAGGCAGCACAGTTGATGGGGACATGGGGGGTACCTGAACCAGCCCTCGGGCCTGGTTCCCAGCGCCCTCCCTACTTCCTCCAGCTTCCTCACTGTGCCGGCTCAGGTGCCTGCTGCTGACGGGGAGGCGGGACCCGCGTGTGCCCTCGACAGACCTGCGACCCCACCTCGAGAGAGGGCTGGGGGGCAGGAGGACACGATGGTCACGCAGCCCCGGGCCCTGGGAGCTCTGAGACAGCCATCCTCAGTCCCCAGGTCTAAACGGGGTTCTCTCTGCCTTTCAGAAACCCTTCGAGGCATCCAGGTCTTGGGGCCCACCCTCATTCAGACCTTCCAAAAGATGACAGTGACCTTGAACTTCCTAGGGAGGTGAGTGAACCCCGGAGGGCACCGTGGGTGACTCATGGCCCGGCCCACACTCTCCTGAGCCTGCTCCATCCCCCGATGGGCCCCAGATCTGGGGGCTGGTGGGAGGATAATGCCATCCTGCCCTGCGGGGTCCATGGGAGGGAGCAGGGGCCTTTTGGGGCTGTCTGCAGCGTGGGCATCGAGGCAAAGGCAGGTGAGGGACAGCCCTGTGAAGAGCCCTCCATGTGTGACTTGGGCCTGCTTCTAGCCCCCGGAAAGCCAGCTGTCGCGGGGAAGGCCCTAGCCCAGCTCCGGGCAAGAAGGCCACGAGGCTGTTTGTAGTAAGTGACAAGACATGGAGATGCGGGCTGTGCTTTCCCCACAAGGATGGGTGAAGCTGCAGAGGTCAGCGGTCAGGACCCAGCCCTCCAAGGATCCTTTGGGGAGGACCAGCCCTGCCTGCCCAGCTGGGGCACATCAGAGGGAAGCAAGGCTCAGGCGGGAGGAGGAAGATGAGTCAAGGGGCTGGAGGTGGCTTTTTCAGGGGGCTTTGGAGGTAGGAGCTTAGTACTTGGAGAGTGGGGTGGGGAGCCACTTGGGCTGGCAGACCTGATCGTTGAGGTGGTGTGTGTGTGTGTTTTACCCCGGCCTGTGGTTCTGTGAAATGGGAATGCTCGCTCAGTGTTCCTTCCATGGACCTGCATCTTCCAGCTTCTGAGCTTGTGCTGTCCCAGGCGGGTAACCCGGAATCCCCTCCTCCCTTTTGAATCTATGAAAAGCCTACTTACCCTTCCAGATGCTGCTCACATGCCACCTCCTCCAGGAAGCCTTCCCTGACTTCCTCATTAAGAATGTGCTCCCTTGTCCCCTGTGCTTCCACGGGTGTCACTGGAGCGCTCTTTCTGCCTCATCCCACAGTCTCTGGACATCCCTGTTTGCCTCCCTGGCCTGGTGTCTCGTTGGGGTCTGGGGCCATCTCTTATGTACCATTGTTTTCCCCGCTCTAGAACTGTGAAGCGGAGGCCAGGACAGCTTAGTGTTCTCTCCTGGAAGGGACACTGAAGTTTGCGGTCGCTTGGCCTTTCTCGGACTTGGTCTCTGCTCATGCTCCTTGCCGAGCCGTGTCTGAAAATCCACCCCCATTTCTCCGCAGCCCGCCTCTGACTGTGTGCTGGCGTCTCAAACCCGAGTGCCTCCCATTGGAGGAGGGAGAGTGCCACCCGGTGTCAGTGGCCAGCACGGCTTACAACCTGACCCACACCTTCAGGGACCCGGGGGACTATTGCTTCAGCATCCGGGCCGAGAATGTCATCAGCAAGACACATCAGTACCACAGGATCCAGGTGTGGCCTTCCAGTAAGTGACACCTTGCCTTCTCCAGGGCCACACAGTCAGAAAAAAACCAGTCAACCCCGCCGCCACCACCACTGCGCTACCACCGGCCAACTCTACTGAGGCCATCAACGACCAGCCTCGCCAACACTAGAATCATCAGTAACCCCACTGGCCCCAACCAACACCGTTGACCCACTGCCCATACCATGGCCATCAAACTCCACCAGTCCATCAGCACCCAGCTCCAGCACCCCAATACCGGCACCCATCAGTTCCAACACCACCCTCAGTGCCAGCACCGCTAGCAATAACAGTGGCCAACTCAGCTCCCGCCAGCCAACTTGACCAGCATCACCGCCACCACGACCAACACACACTGCTGAGAGTTCTTCCTGCACCCTCCAGAGCCAGCAGACAGCTCTGTGATCGCCACCACTCATACCACATCAGCACTGCCGTTAACGCCCCTGCCACAAGCCCCCACACCAGCCATTTGGACCGATGCCATCGCTGCCGTGTCGTCCCGGTGTCACCCCAACTTTAGCTCTCTTGTTGCCATCACCACCATCGCTGTCAGTGTCCCCCCCCACGTGTTATCAGTGTCCCACATCCCCAACTTGAACACACCCGCATTAAACGAGCCACCGTGATCACAACGTCCCCTCCTTCACCGCCGTCGCGCCCATCCCCACACCATCGCCTCCATCCCAGCACAGTTGCCATCACTAAGACCAGCATCCCCAGTGGCGAGTGCCTGACTCACAGGGCTGTTGTGGGTCTCCCAGGGAGCGTGAGCCACTCAGAAGGTGCGCAGTAGGGTCCCTGTCATTCATGGGGACACCCAACCATCTCCGCCCGGGGTACCCTTCTCCAAACCATCCTCAGGCCCGGCCACTGGATCCCAGTCATGGGATTAGCTGATGATGGCGTTAGCTTCTACCCCTCGTTTCCGGGGGACTCTTCTGTCACCCCAGGAAAGTGCATCCTTTACGTAGAGGAGAAAGTAGGATCCTAGAACCGTAAGGGATGGTCTTTCAGATGCCCAGCCTGGTCCCGCCCTTTATAGTACAAAAGGGGAAACCCTGCCAGTTGCGCTTGTCCCCAAGCTTGGCACCGTAAGTGCAACAGACACTGTCACTGTCCCCTCCAGTCGCCCCAGCCCCTCTGAGCCCTTGAGCAGATGCCACACTCCACTCCTGGCCGACCTCGTGGGCCAGGCAGACTCTGTGACTTGTGGGCATCATCGGGGGCCTCGGGCCCTGCCTCTCCCGGCGCCTCCTGGGCACCGAGTACCCAGGATCCCCCTGAATTCTGTGGAGAGGACAGCGCTACAGGTAATCAATGCCACCTTTTCTTGGGAAACAGATCCTCGTGGCGTGTGGTGGTGTCTCTACCAGGAGGAGGGTGCAGGAAGAGCAAGAGGGAACCTACACTTGCTGGTCACCTGCCGTGCACCTGGCACATTCACACCTCACTTTGTCACACCCTCCTGGCAGACTCATGGGTCAGCATTACCTTCAGACACCTTGGCCAGAGTCAGGATTTGAACCCAGGACCCCCTAACTCTAGTCACTGGGCTCTTCCTGCTCTGCCATGCGGCTTCCTGGCATAAGGATCAGTGAGTGAGCCCAAGCCGCCAGAGGGCGGGAGGCTGTGACCCAGGTCACAGAGCTGCTTGGGTGTCCTCGCTACATGGGTTCCCTTCCCCAATGTGAGTCACCCCAGAGAGAGCAAGGGGGAAGTTGTGATGTCTTTTATGGCCCGGACTCAGAAGTCGTATGCCATCACTCCTGTCACATGCTGTTTATTAGGAGCAAGGCCCCAGGTCCAGCCCACACTCAGGAGGTGGGGAATTTAGCTGCACCTCTAGAAAGTTGATATCAAGTACTTGTGGACATATTTTAAAACCCTCCCACACCCCAGCTTGGTTTTTGTGAAATCCTGGACTGGCCTCTTGGGATGCATGGACATAAGGAGAAAACAGCTCTGGTGGGGTTTGACTGATCTCCTCTCTTATGGTCTCCTCCTGAGGGCTGGCATTCAGCAACAGCTCCCCAGGGCCGTGACGTCACCCTCTCTCACTCCCAGGCATCCAGCCGGCTGTCTTTGCTTTCCCATGTGCCACGCTTATCACCATGATGCTGGCCTTCATCATGTACATGACCCTGAGGAATGCTGCTCAGCAGAAGGACATGGTGGAGGTGGGTGCTCAGAAGGGTGGTGGCTGGACCCCCGGGCCCTGACTGGAGAGGATCTGTGGGGAGAGCACGGCGGCTAGGCCAGGGGGCCTGGAGGGGGTCTGGATGTCAGAGCCAGGCCTTGGGACTGGGGATCATGTGCCCAAGAGGCATCCATAGACCAGGCCAAATTGTTGACTTGGCTTCTTCTCATCTGACTTACCTCCTTCTGCCCTTGTCCCTTGCCTGGCGTCCATGCCCAAGGGCAGGTAAGGGAGAGGACAACTGAAAGAGGGAGACCCAGAGGGCAGAAGAGCCAAAGGCACAGTCAAGTGCTGTGTGGCACCAGAAGGGTGTTTCCGTGCACACTGCTGCCAGGCCGCTGAGCTCGTAAGGCCACCTTGGCAGGGCCCCCAGCAGGCGAGTGATTGACGCGTGGGGTTTTGTTCACCATAGGTGGCTGATTTTGACTTTTCCCCCATGTCTGACAAGAACCCGGAGCCACCCGCTGGGGTCAGATGCTGCTGCCAGATGTGCTGCACACCCTTCTTGCTGGAGACCCCATCGGAGTACCTGGAGGTTGTCCGCGAGAACCACGGGCTGCTGCCACCCCTCTACAAGTCTGTCAAGACTTACACGGTGTGAGCGCTCCCCCACACCCCGTCTCAGCGTTAACTGACTGCCGACTCGGCACTTAGGGTAGGGTGGGGCACTGAGCAGGAGGGGTTCACGTGTGTGGGGCCATCCACCATGGCCAGCCGTCCATCTGTAAAGTCCAGCCACTGCCACAGCGCCCCTCAGTTACACACCCCCAGCCATCTGTCCATCTGTCCAGTCCAGCCAGTGCCCTAAGCCCCACCCCACCCCTCGCCTTTGAGGAGACCCCAAGTGGGACTCCGACACTCGACGGGGGTCCGCGTTCTCTCCCAGCTGTGCCTGGCTGCCTCTCACCTGTTCCTCCCATGTTGGCATGTCTGCCATCTGTCTGGGGTTTGCATTTCGCTCCCCCTAGGCAGCCCTGCCCAGGTCAGAGCAAGGAGGAAGGTCACGAATGCTTAGGGAGACATCAAGAAAGGTCCTACATACAGAGACGAGCACATACATGTACACACACACACACACACACACAGAGAGAAATACACACGTGTCACACAAGCATCTCTGTATCACTTAAGTCAGTTGCTGGAATGTATCCTGAATTAGAACTGAAATGAAGTCTGACCTTTTCCACGTGGCTCCCACAGCTCCCGGGCCTGGCCCCTCCCTTTGTCACTGTGCCTGTGGCTACGGAGTCCCCTTCTAAGGATACCCTGTTCCCTGCCTGATTGTTGGGGGGCTGGGTGGAGGCAGGGCTAACACTTCGTGAGTGCAAAGTGCTTTCTAAACAGCACCTTCTTTTACTGAGACCGTGGGAACTTCCATCAAAGAAAAAGCCTTGCAGCAAAAGAGGAGGCAAACCAGTGGGGACTGGAGCTTCCCGTGGGAATCATTCTGGTTCCGCTGCCCAGCAGCTGGGTGGCCTTGAGAAGGAAGAGGCGAGACTGGACAGAGCCCATGGGGGAACCAGCCCACTCTTCTCCCCTCCGGCCCAGCGGCCTGGGGTGGGGGGCAGGCAGAGCACGTGGAGAGGGTACGTCATGGGTGCAGAGGGAGACCAGGACTGGGCTCTGGTCTGGCCATGCAGGAGACAGGAGCAACCTGGGCCTGTTTGGGGAGGGCAGGGCGGGGCAGGGCCTGGCGGGCGGAGCTCTGTGGCTGTAAGTTTGCTCTCAGACTTTGTTCTGGAAACAGCCTTCCTCCTGTCGTGCAGCTCATTCTCATGAAATACTGCCGTCATTGCTGAATAAAGCTTGTGTGCTCTGAATATAGCCAAGCAGCAACCGGCTGGCCAGAGTCTCTTTCTTTTCCACGCACGGACATTTGGGCCCTGCAGACAGCACGAGCAGATCCCGGATGCAGCAGGACATCCCGGTCGTGTTCTCTGGCAGGTGGACTCGATGGAGCCACTGTCTGGGGCCTCGGGTCCTGCTCAGTGGTCCAGACCGGTGGTTCTCGAATGGCTGTTCAGGCTGAATCGCAGACTGATCAGACTCACAAGGGCCTCTCGGAGGTGGAGCCAGGTGTCCCCGGGTGACTCCAGCGTGCAGCCAACTCTGAGACCCCGGGCAGACGCTAGATCAGAGCTGGGATGTAGGCCACGCTGAGGAACTTGCCGGACATGCAGATCCTTGGGCCCCATCCCACACCTGAATCAGCCCGTGGGGGTGGGGGCAGCCACCTGTGCTCCTACAAGCCCCCGGGGGTCCTGGTGCACCATCCAGTGTGAGAACCTCAGTTTCCAGCAGGGCATCTCCAACTCGACCGTGCATGAGAATCGCCGGAGACATCTTTTCGTTCAGGAGGTTGAGTGGGGCCTGCGATTCTGCCTCTGATAAGATTCCGGGTGATGCTGATGCTGCCGGTCCGAGGACCACACTTTGAGTTGCAAACCTCTTGAGTCTACACCCTTCCTGAGCTCTTTTTCTTCTGTAAGAGGTTTGGGATTTTTTTCTTAATTGCCTCTGCTCTCCTGCCGTCCCCACCACCTACTGCCCACTGGGTTTGCCCCAAGCTCCAAGGAGCTGGACCTGGGTGGGAGTGGACCCTGCCTCACCTCTGCTGCACCACTCTGCAAAGCCCCATGTTTAATGAGCAAAGCCGCTTAGGGAACTTTCCAGAACATCAGCATCGTTGGCATGGGGGATGGGGTCAGCTGTGTCAGAGTTCAAGGGGGAAGGAACCGGGACATTCCAGGGGACCCTTTGCTCTGGATAACTGGTGAGAGGATCAAGTGAATCCTTGGAGAAAGGGGGAGAATGTTCTTGCCTTGAGTTATCTTAAAGCGTTGCTAATAGATGCAGCCAGGTGTCTTTCCAGCCACACCCTGCTGCGAGAGTACGCAGCTCCCGGTCTCTGCACGGGCTGGCCTTCAAGAGAACTCAGGATGAAAAAAAAAAAATCTCAACTCCACCCTCAGGAATTGAAAAGTGGCTGTTCACACAGCAAAACGACCTACATCTCTGCAAAAAACCGGGGTGATCGGGTGTTTGTCTTACAGAAGTTAAAAAAAATGTTTTAAAGAATACATTGTCAGCCACATCAAAGAGGTTGGGTGGAAAGAACCATGGGATAAAAATGCAGGAAAAAACAGAGCTGCAGAGGGAAAGGTTACATTGTCAACTGAAGACGCACGGGGCTGCATACGTTTCAGGAGGAGAATATTTGACTTGCAAGTTTGGGGGTGCCTAGCTGTCGGGGCAGGGTGCTGGGCCGGGCAGCAGAGTGTGCACTTTCAAAGGTGCCTCCTCCCTCCAAGCTAGGGGTCCTCCGAGGTGCTCCCCGACTGCTGGGCTGTCTGTGAGCTGCTTTGGGGGATGTAAGTGGCTTCCAGAGCTGCAGCTGGGTCAGGGGACCTGTGGGGAGCTCACTGTGTATTTATTCACCAGCCTCTCGTCACTGGCCCATTGCAGGCCTGGGGCCTCGAGTATCCAGCTCTGTCCAGCCAGCCACATCCAGCCCACGCACGCATCCTTATAAGCAGTGTTACGATTCTATTTTAGCCCTCCCCTCGGAGGGCAGGAGGGGCTGGGGCGGCTATGCCCACCAGCCTGTGCTTCCAGGAGGGACCTGATGATGGCCGAAGAGAGGCTGTGGGTCCCACGACCACAGGGAGTCAGGAGCGCAATCAACTGAATGTATTTTTGCCCGCACCTAAGAGCCGTATTTTCCTTTAAGAAGCTGGCCCAGGGCTCAGTGCAGGGACACCCCCCACCCCCATCACCCTGGACACGGTGGGGTGTTTTAGAAGGGTTCTAAGGGTTTAAGCCTGATAGGATTAAAGTGGGTTTCCAAGGAAACATAGATGAACACACCTGTACCAGGTTGACTAGTGACCCCCGCCAGAGTCATGTCCACCCAGAACCTGTGCGTATGACCTTATATGGAAATAGGGTCTTTGCAGACGCAGTCAGGTTAAGATGAGGTCATATGGAGAGGGTGGGCCCTAAATCCAATGACTGGTGTCCCTATAAAAAAAGCAGGAGAGACACAAACAGACCCACAGGGAAGACGGCCGTGTGACCAAGACACAGGCCGCGGCGATGCGTCTACATGCCAAGGTCTCCCAAGGGTTGCCGGCAGCCACCAGAAGCAGGGGAGAAAGATGGAATGGATTCTCAGAGCTTCCAGGAAGATCCAACCTTGCCGACCCCTTGTGCGTTCATTTCCTGGGGCTGCCATAACAAAGTACCACAGATCAGGAGGCTTACACAGCAGAAACTTAGGGTTTCACGGTTTTGGAGGCTGGAAGTCTGAGATCAAGGTGGTGGCAGGGTGGTTCCTTCTGAGGCCTCCCTCTGTGGCTTGGAGACGGCCGTCTTCTCCCCGTGTCTTCAAGTGGGCCTCCCTCTCTGCGTGTCTGTGTCCTCGTTCGCTCTTATTACAAGGAAATCAGCCCTATCGGATTAGGGCCCACCCTAACGGCCACATTTTAACTTAATTCTCTCCTTCAAGGTCCTGTCTCCAAATACAGTCACATTCTGAGGTCCTGGGGGTTACAACTCCGACGTAGGAATTTTGGAGGAACGCAGTTCAAGACGTAATACCTTGATTTCAGACGTCGGGCTTCCAGAATCAATTTCAGCTTCTGGAATTTGTTTCTGCAGCCGCAGGAAACGAACACAGCTCCCCACGCCCATCCCGGCAGCTCTGACTCTGACACTGCGTCCAGCCAACAAGAAGTCCTTCAGTGCAGATCCAGAATCTGAACGCTCCACCCTGCCTCCGCGGCCTCCACGGTGGAGCCTCCCCAGTCCTGTTAGCTTCCGCTGTCCCCTCATCCAGCCCCAAGTGTGTTCTCAGAACCCCACCAGGACCACGTCCTCTTCTGCCCAAACCCATCAATGTCCCCCAGCTCAGAGTCCTTCCAGCGGCCACCAAGGCCTGCACGGCCTGCCCCTTGACCTCGCTGCCCTCACTCCCTACTGCTCATCCCTCCAGCTCTGCCTTCCTCAGGGCTTTGCTCTGGCTGTTCCCCCTGCCAGATGCTCTTCCCTACACACACATGGGGCTCCCTCCTCACCTCCTTCACGTCTGCTCAAATGTCACCTGCTTGCTGAGGCCGACTCTGGCACTCCCCACCTCTCGTACCCTACTTCCCCCACCCCCAGTAGTACTGATCACCTTCTAAGATGCCACTAATTTTACTGATTTATTGATTTAATCTGTCTCCGTGCATAGAATAAAAACTCCAAGAAGGAAAGGACTTTGCCTACTGTGGTCACGATTCCTAGTTCCAGCATCTAGAACAAAGCCAGGCAAACAGTAGATGATCATTAAACATCATCGAGGAAGGGAGGAAAAATGCCCCCACTCCTCCTCAAGAAAAATCTTATAGCCTCACAATGTCTTGAATTTAGGAGAGGAAAGACAAGATTCCAAGGAAAGGACGTGGTGTCTCCCCAGATTGTCCAGAAGGATGAATAGTCTGGAAGCCCTGGTTTGGGCGGCTTGGTGAAGTCCAGGTGACGGTACGCAGAGGTCTTCCACCTGTAACCTGGAGAGACGGACCGTTGTCTGGGGGGTCCTTCTCTGCTTAGAGGACGTGGAGTTGCCCCCCAAGTAGGATGGCATTTCGGAAATCACTTGTGGGGCTTGGCCCTCATCAGAGCAGGAAGCCACTGGGCTGCCTTCTGAGGCTGATGCCTCGTTTTGTGTCGAGAAGGGGGGATCAGAGGGTGAGGGGAGGCAGCCGAGCTGTGGAGGGTCAGTGGGGAGTAAGCAGGGCTGGGACCTGCCTGGCAGCTGGCCAAGGGGCTGAGGAGGAGCTGGGGCCACCAGACAGGGTCCGACCCCCAGGGGCTCCATGGAGAGTTCATGAACTCGATGGGAGAAATTATATCTTCATTGTTACAAACCTGTAGTCACATCGGGGCATCTCCTTCCACCATCAATATAGGCGAACACGGCAGTGTCGTCAGCAGTTCCCGTGACTGCCATCCATGTGACTGGCATTACAGATGTTGTCACATCACCTTCTAGTTGTTTGGGATCTCTCAGAATGTCAACTATGCTGATCATCTCCTCAAAATTACGGTTGCTGCTAGGCCTGCCACTGGATCTTATCTCTCAGCAGATATATTATAATCACTATTGTAATAACTGTATTTCCGTATAATTGGTTTCCCTTGTAATCCTATAATTTTATATTATGCTTTTAAAAATATTTTTCTGAGGGTTGGATCCAACTGGGGAGGGGCTCATGGTGCCAAGAGGGCTATGAGGCCTCCGTAGCTGTTCCTGAGAAGCCCTCAGGGGCACAGGAGCGACAGGGGACCCTGCTTTCTTCCAGCCTGAAGAAAAGATCCTTGTGGGATCCCCTAAAGGCTGCCGCCCTGGGCGTCTGATCCAGGAAACTGGGATGTCTGCCTGCAGAACCCAGTATGACCAGCAGGTGGCAGCCTCGCCCACCGTGCTTCCTGGAGGCTTCTCCCCATCCGCAGCCCTGGGATGCCGTAGGGGGACAGAGGGACACAGATGGCGAGGGTCCTGGCACCTGTGGCGCCTGCAAACTTACCCACAGCTGTGCACATGTGTGAACACAAGGCACATGCCATATGCACATGCATGTTCAGACACACAGATGCAGCAGCCTACCTGGGAATGAGCTTCCAGAACATTCAGCCCCTTCCAGGACAGAAGGCATTCCTGGGACTCTTGCCCTTGTGAAGTTCTCTCAGAAGAGGGGACCTACTTTTTCTGCGTCATCTTTTCCTTCCCTAGTAGCTTTTCTGAGATGTCCATAGGTCAGCACGAGCCAACAGCTCTAGCCACACAAATACTG